TCGCTCTTGCTAGTGATGGTTTTAATCCTTTTAGAACAATGAGCACTACATATAGCACATGGCCTGTTGTATTAATTGTATATAATACTTCACCTTGGATTTGTATGAAACAATCATCATTCATATTATCAATGATTATTCCAGGTGAGAACAGATCCAGAAATGACATAGATGTTTATTTGCAACCTTTGATAGCAGATTTGAAAAAATTATGGATAGGTGTAGAGACTTGTGATGCTTCTAAAAAACAATCATTTAACATGTGAGCTACTTTAATGTGGACAATAAATGATTTTCCTGCTTATGCAAATTTATCCGGTTGGAGTACGAAAGGAAAGTTTGCATGTCCATGTTGTGCTCGAGTCAACGTGTTCTAAATGGTTGTACAAAAGTAAGAAGCATTGTTTCATGGGTCATCGTCGATGGTTACCTTATGATCATATATTCCGTCATCAAAAAGATTGTTTTGATGGTACGGAAGAGCAGACAAATGGCACCATGTAGAAAAAGTGGTAATGATGTCTTGAAACGAGTTAAATGACATAGATTATACTTTTGGAAAATTAGTACAACGTGATAAAAGAAAAAGGGTTGTGAACAAAAAAAGGATCAAAACTAATATTGGGGGCTCAAATATTGAAGGGATAGTTAACACATGTAGTGATGTTGAGGATGCAAAAAGGTGGTGGAAGAAAAAAAGCATATTTTTTGAATTACCTTATTGGGAGTTTAACTTGTTACGTCATAATCTTGATGTGATGCATATTGAAAAAAACGTATGTGATAATGTGATTTGAACCTTAATGAGTCATGCTACTAAGTCAAAGGACAATTTAAATGCACGTCTTGACTTAATGGATTTGGGTATTAGGTTTGATCTTCACCCTTAAGTGCTTGATAATGGTAAAAGCAAATTGCCTTCTCGCTTGTTTTACAATGTCAATAAGCAGAAGAGAAATCTTTTGCAAAATTCTTCATTCTTTAAAATTGCCCGATGGTTATGCATCTAACATTTCAAGATGTGTAAATCTTAAAGATAAAAAATTAATTGGTCTTAAAAGTCATGATTGTCATATTTTGATTGAAGATCTCATGCCGATAGCATTAAGAGCATGGAGTCCATCTAAAGAGGTAACTTCGGTGATAATTGAATTGTCTCGCTTTCTTTAAAGCAATATGCTCAAAGGTCCTAGATGTGAATGAGCTTGACAAGATTCAAAACCGTATTGTTTTGACTCTTTGTCGGATGGAAAGGATTTTTCTACCATCATTCTTCACTCGTTATGGTGCATTTAACTATTCATTTAGCGGAGGAGGCAAAGCTTGGTGGTCCGGTGCCATATAGGTGGATGTATCCTCAAGAAAGGTACATCATAGTAATTAGTTTCTCATTTCTTCATATTTTGATGATTATATTTACTTAACTAAGATTAATAAATTTCTTAGGCAATTTGTGCGTTTGAAGTCATATGTTCGTAATAGAGGTCGACCGAAGGATCAATTGCGTAAGGGTATGTAGTCGAAGAATGTTTGACATTTTATTCAAGATACCTAGAAGGAGTTGAATCAAGATTCAATCGACCTTTGAGAAATCCCGATCCTCCTTCAAATGAACAAAGAGTCAAATAATTGTTCAAAAGTGCCTGGTCAACCAATTGGAAAAGTTGAAGCCATACAATTGGACAATAAGGCTTTGATTCGTGCACATTGTTATATTTTACGTCATTGCGATGAAATTGAACGTTTTCGCTTGTAAGTTCTTTTAATTTAATAAAGTATACTACTAGTTCTATAAAACATATTCTTATTTAATACGTTAAAAATTTTCACATGCAGAGAATTCATTGATTTAGAACGAAAAAAACGACGTCGACATGCTCGTCTTAGAAGTGAGGATATTGAAAGACTACTTGATGAAAAATTTCATAGTTGGTTTCAAAAAAAGGTAAGTAATTGAACTAGGTGACATATTAAACATTAGGAATTAAAGTATATTAATACTAACTTCATTCAATTTTTGTTATTATAGGTTTTAAGCATGAACGATCCAAGCATTTCGGATGAAATTTTAGCACTTGGTAAAGGGCCTAATGATGTGGCCAAGAGATTTAATGGGTTCATCATCAATGGCACTAGGTTCCATACACTCGGATCGGGAAGCAAATAGATCATCTCAAAATAGTGGTGTGGTTAATGTTTCAACTTGTTGGAGGAGTTAACTACTATGGAAAATTAAGAGATATTATTGAACTAGATTACTACGGTAGTTTTAAAGTTATTTTATTTAAATGTGATTGGGTTGATGTATATCATAGTGCTGGTATTAGGCAAGATGAATTTGGATTTACTCTAGTTAACTTCTCATGTTTAATTCACACAGGTGAGAAAGAAGAAGATAACCCATTTGTATTTTCTTCCCAAGTACAACAAGTGTTTTATGTGCGGGATCCATCAAATATGAATTGGTCTGTGGTTGTCAAAGTTAGACTAAGAGATTTATTTGATATGAGGGTAGATGATATTTTTGAAAGTGACTTTTTGAATTCTTCATCTTTAGATGAGGGGAGAAGCCTATATAGGTGCGGAATGGTTTAGATGATGAAATAGTTTAGATTTTTATTTATTTATTTTTAATTTAAGTTATTTTTGTTTATTAATTTTTATTTTATTTTTATCCTAGTTATGCATTGGTGATTATACTTTGGTATGTTTTTAATTTTCATTGATCTTATGTTTATTCGTAATTTTAATATCAAGTGATATCTTGCAATCTTAGACATGGTTCGAGGATCTAAGACTTTGCGTGGATTAAGAATTGTTAGGGATGAATCTCAATCTAACCAGCCTATTTTTCAAAGTCCTACATCTTCTTATAGTTCACAACCTATGCAAGAACAAACACGAATTCAAAGTCGACATCTTCAGCAAATTGTTCACAACATGTTCAAGAAGCTCGGGATGATGATTTCAAGCACGGTTAAAATTATTGGTGAGATTTTAATTATTTTATATTTTGGTTTATATGCTTTTGATTCTATCTTAAATTTCAAAATTATAATGAAAAAAAGATAAGGAGGGAAAATATATTAAAAGGAGAGGTCGAGCTTCAATGATAGATTTTTGGAACCATTTAGAAGATGGAGAACGTATTGTTATAGAAGTTGACAAATATGGAGCTCCATGTACAAAAGAAGGTGCTCGCTCTTGGTTCTTACCTTGGAATATTAGTAAAAAAAGGAATTCATGCACCTTTGAGCATCCCACGATGGGATTGTAAGGAGTTTGGTGTATTCAAGAACAACCTTATAAAACTTGTGAAGGTAAATTCTCTTAAGTTGCTATTACTTTTTTACTACTTTTAAATTCTCTTAATTTTATATGATGAGTTGGTATTTTGATTTTGAATTTAGAGAGTTTCATTTATCACTTACATCATAAATTGGATATATATATATATATATATGGCGAAGTTCTCTATCAAGAAATTAAAATATATATTTTTTTACATGTTTAATAGGAGAAGTTTGAGTTTCCCGATATTGCAAAGAAATGGATTTTGGCATCGTTAAACAAGAAGTGGAGGGATTTCAAAAGTGACATGAAAGCTGAGTTTTTTGATCCTAGTAAAACGGCAGAAGAGATCATTGCCTCTAAAGAATTGCCTCCCGGTGTCTTGATAGATCAATGGTCTACTTTGGTAAATAGATGGTTTACTCTAGAAAGCCGGGTTTGAAATTATTTCATATTGTAAGTTTCTTTCTTTTACCTATTTTGTATGATTTATAATTAAATATGTTTTTTTTTAATGTAGAAAACAAGTGAGGTAAATACCGCAAATGCTAACAAAAATAAATGTGCAAATACATTAGGCAGAAAAAGTTGTGTAAGGAAAAGAAGAGAAATGGTAATTTTAATAATTTATAAATTTTCATTTAAATATTATTTATGTATGAAATAAGATTAAATATGTATAATTGTTTGTAGGAAGAAAGGGATGGAAAGGAACCCGATAGGTTGACATTGTATGAAGCTACTCATAAGAAAAAGGATGGCACATTTGTGGATGACAATGTTAGGCTAAAAATGGTACTATCATTTTATTGTTATTTATTTATTGTTGATGAATGATATTTCTTTATTCTTTTTTTTTTTTAATGTACTTGTCTTGATATTTATAGGAAAAGGTTCGTTCTCTCCAAGTCGAGCGTTATGAAGATTCCTCAACCGCCGGTGTTAATGATATAAATGAAGAGATTTTTCAAGAAGTTATGGGTAAAGAACACAATGGTAGAGTTAGAGGATTAGGCTTGGGTCCAACACCAACACTTTTCTTTGATATATAATCTTAACTTGAAAGTGGTCAAGGTGGTGCATCTACAAATCAATCAAGTGAAGTAGAAGAAATGAAAGAGCAGTTGCATAATATGCAAACCAAGTATGATGCAATGGAATCTAGACATAATGCAATAAATGCGACATTAACTCGTCATTATCGCTTTCATTGCAGAGAGATATCCCGATCGAATTTAATACCTACTTCATTGAATCCTACTCGGTATTATAAATTTTTAATTAAATATTTAATTTTTTTATCTTAAAATATTTTTACTTAGTTTTTTTATATATATATTTTACTTTAAAATTGTGTTCTTGATAGGTTCGCAATGATGGTAATGGTCAAAATGCTCCTTCTCCTAATCCTTCATCACAATCGAGTCATTTGCCGAAATGAAACATTAGTCACTTATTTCTAGATATATTTAGAATTTTGTTTATGTATTTTGAACAAGTATTTAAGAATATTGCAAACGTTTGAGGACTTTTTCTTTAGTTTTTTTTTAATTGTAAAAGTTTGACTACTTATTATGTATTTAGAATTTGATAATTATAAATTTAAGAATATTGTGGTATCTATATAATTTTAATTTTTTTACATTCAATAATTGAATTTGAAGGTGAAAGGTAAATAACCATCTTTATAAATTATAAAATCTGCTTCTATGAATTCTGAAATTAATTTTATAAATTATTTATTCTGGGCGGTTGGAACCGCTCCTACAAATGCTTTCTTGAGGCACATGAAACCGCCCCCACTACCTAATCTTGAGGCGGTTGCAACCGCCCCTACAAATCCTAATCGTGGGGCGGTTTCAATCGCCTTTACAAAATCCATCACGTGTGGCGGTTTGAACCGCCCCTACTATTTTTCGTCAATTTTATAAATTTAGCTACCGTAGAGGCAGTTTGCAACCGCCGCAAAAATTACTCACGTGATGGATTTTTAGAGGCGGTTGCAACCACCCCACGATTAGGATTTGTAGGGGCGGTTTCAATCGCCTCAAGATTAGGTAGTAGCGGCGGTTTCATGTGCCTCAAAAAAGCATTTGTAGGGGCGCTTGGAACCGCCTCGGAGAAAAATGTAAAGGCGGTTGTACCGCCTCTACCAACCGCCGTAGAAATACCCGGCGGTTGGCAAACTCGTCGCTACATCGTAGAGACGGCGGCATTACAGTGCGATTTTGGAACGGTCCGAGAAACCGCCTCTATAATTTGTAGAGGCGGTTATAACCGCCTTTACAAGACAAAAAACCGCCCGGAATACCCGTTTTTGGTGTAGTGATGGTTCATTATCCTCCTTAGACAACCTCTCCAACATGGAAAGCTATCTATAGGTCATTTTCTTATTTGAAGGATAATTATATTTGGCGTTTTGCACTATAAGAAAATAAGCAATTAGCGAAGGAAATTAGTGATGGAATATAACACTATAAGAAAATAGGCAATTAGCGATGGATTCAATTCTATTGCCATTTAGCTACCGAATAGCAATTGATTAGTGATGAAATCAAAAATGCATTATTCAGGTGATGGATCAACAATGGTTTTGCGATGAAAATGTAGCAATGAAAACAATTCCATCGCTCAAGAGTGCGCTAAAAATCCATGCCAAATTCAATGATAGAATGGTGATGGATTAATGAGGGAATGTAGCAACGGAATAGAGATTCCACTCGTTAAAAGCATCATTGGCCAAGTAACAAAAATTATCCATCACCGCTCGTCACTAACCTTTGCTTATACTATTTCATCGATAAATGCACAAATTCCTATAAATTTTTTTAACGAGTATTGGCTGTCGATTAAAATTCAACTTAGCAACGAAAATGATTGTTTTGTCACGAATTAAGGATGGATTAGCAATAAAGACATGTTTTCATCGTTGTTTGCATAAATTTTTAAATCTTTCTAGACAATTTGTATGATCGTTTGAAATTCAAATTAGTGATGAATACTTAATTCCATCACTAATTAATGACGGATTAGCTATGTAAATGCATCCGTCGCTAATCCTAAAACCCTATAAAGTTACAAACACTTTCTCTTCCCTCTTATTACCCCCTTTCTCTCTCCTCTTCCTCTCCTCCTCTCGCTACCACCACCCCACTTCCTCCCTAGCTCACTCAATACGACAAGGTGCATCTTTCTCCCCAAAATCCGTCGACAGTCTCTCCTCACCCTTCTTTCCTTTGGTAATTTGTTCTCTCTCTCCCTATATCATTTTTTTTAATTACATTAATATGGTTAATTATTAGGTTAATTTTTTTAATTGTTAGTTTAATTTTATTAATTATTAGTTTAATTTTGTTAATTGTTAGTGTTATGTTAAATTTTAATTATATAATTTTTGAGGTAATTCAGATAAATTAGTTGATTAATTTTTAAGTTATTTTTTATTAATTGGTAGGTTAAAATTTTGTTAATTAATTGTTAATTTTTTTTATTTTTTTAACTAGTTGTTAGGTTAATATTGTTAATTTGTTTGTTGTTATTTTAAAATTTAATTAACATTTCAATTAGGATTAATGTAATTAGTTAGGATTAATTTAATTAAGTTGATTTGATTTTGGGTTAATTTGATTTATGATTAATTTCATTATGGTTATTTGAACTGATTGATTGAATTAAGGTTAATTTAAATATGGCTAATGTTATTAGGTTTATTTGAATTTATTATTAAATTAATTATGTAAATTTTGTTTCATTTTTTAATTTTATTTATAATATTGTAATTTGTTAATTAATATTGATATTTGAAATTTAATAAACAATTGAATTAGGATTAATATAATTAGTTAGGGATAATTTAATTTGGTTAATTGAATTTATGGTTAAATTTAATAGGCTAATTTTGATTTAGGATTTAATTACTGATGTTATTTATATTTTAATATATTTAATTAATTTTTATCTGCAATTTAATTACATTTGAATGAGAATTAATTTTATTACATTTAGTTTAATATGTTATTAAATTAATTAGGTAAATTTTTATTATAATATTATAATTTTTTAATTAATATTTATATTTAAAATTTAATAAATTTTTAAATTAGAATTAATTTTATTACATTTAGTTGAATTTATTGTTAAATTAATTAGATAAATCTTGACTATAATATTGTAATTTGTTAATTAGTATTGATATTTAAAATTAATAAATATTTTAATTAGGATTAGTATAATTGGTTAGGGTTAATTTAATTTGGTTAGTTTGAATTTATAATTATATTTAGTTGGTTAATTTTGATTAAGGATTTAATTGTTGATGTTACATATATTTTAATGTATTTAATTAATTGTTATCTACAATTTAATTAAGTTGGAATTATAATTACTTTTATTACATTTAGTTAAATTTATTATTAAATTAATTAGGTCAATTTTGATTATAATATTGTAATTTGTTAATTAGAATTGATTTTTAAAATTTAATAAATGTTTGAATTAGAATTAATTTAATTATGTTTAGTTGAATTTATTATTAAATTAATTAGGTAAATTTTGATTATGGTATTGTAATTTGTTAATTAATATCAAAGTTTAGTAACCGTTTGAGTTAGGATTAATATAGTTAGTTAGGGTTAATTCAATTTGATTACTTTGAATTTATGGTTAAATTCAGTAGGTTTCAATTAGAAATAATTTTATTAGGTTTGATGTGAATTAGGATTAATATTTTAAGATGACTAACTTAATTAATCCTTTAAATTTATTGGATGACGATTCATGGAATTAGAATTACATAAAAACTAGTAACAATTAAATGATTTAATATGGTACTAAATAAATGATTTTATCAATTAAATTAGCTACTATTTTTCCATCTAAAACCTTTCACCGAAACTAATAAAATCCGGACATTGTAGATTGACAACGTAAAAAAAAAAAAAAAATTCATCGATGAGAATGAGTGTGAAAATGCATTAGATGATAGAGATGATAACTTTAACGGTGATTATGATGGTTGTAATCAAATATATGTTTTATTTGTTGTATTAGTAACAAATGATGCGATTCCGGTTTCTTTATTTGTTACATGCAGTAAATAATATCGACTTTGATACATCTTTAAAATGTTGATTGTGTGTTTTGATTTTGTTGTATTTACAATAGGTTGTTTATCATGTAACTAGAAAATATCCAATTTTGAGTTTTTTTATTGCTTAATATTGATAATATATTTTTTGTATTTAATTTACTTGTCTTAGCTTATATAATTTAGCTATGACTAGTGGTTTAGGCTAACCCTTCATATTCACAATGTGATCATGTTCCAATATTCATGGATGTGCATCCCCATCCGACGGCGAGTCCGGTAGGATCCTTGACCAGCATTGGTCGGGGATATTTGACTTCGGAGGTTATACATGGATCTCGTGACTCCCACGATCATAGACGTTCTTCTTTTTCCTCCTACGGAGCATCTTCGGCTATAGAGGCTCCCCCAAATAGACATTTTTGTTCCAACACCAAAGGTTCCTACACTAGCACTAGTGGTTCTAGCATTGATCGTAACGAGTGCCCCATCCATCAACATATCTATTGCTATAGCAAGCTCCTAAAGCTCCTCCATTCGATAGTATATTTCAATCGCTCATGGACAATATGTAATTTTTTAAAAGTTGATGTAATTATTTTTTATTTTAATATATCATTTCAATAATTATCAATTATTTTTTTCTTTTCTTTTTTATGATGTTCGATAGTTTGAATCCTCCCAATAGAGATTATTTTGCGAGGATAATCAAGACTTTCAAGAAGCGATTAGAAGTTAGTGGATCGAGTGAAAGTCCATCTCGGAGCTCACTAAACAATTCTACTTCGATGAATTTAGGATAACGTATTATTAATTTTTTATTATATTTTAAATATAAATTTAATATTAAATGAAGTAGTAAATATTTTTTTTATTCATATAAAAACATTTTTTACTAGGATCCGGCCATCAAGGTGCTTGCTAGAGAAGCTTGGGAGGCTATGGCAAGGAAACACTATGCCAACTTCATCTATAACTATGGTTTGCTAGCCTTATGATAAAGCCTTGTGATAAACGACCTACTTTTATTTAGGTAAGAGGTTTGGGACTCGTAGCATCAAGATTTTACAAGACTTTATCACAAGGCTCGTTCAAAGCGAGCATCATGAAACCGAATGTCGGAGATTGGTGGCCCTAATGCGAGCCTATCCAAGCATATATAGAAGTCCATCTTTTCGGAAGAGCATGCTATCCACTTGGTAACTCATATCTTATATTAATAAATGTTTAAGAAATGTTAATTTGCATCTCATATTTTTTGTGATTCTTTTTTTTTTTTGTTAAGGCAACAAAATTAGGATGTGAACCAGACAAGTTTAGAGCTATTTGAAGCCACTCACAAGTGGTGAGATGGCCCTTTCTTCGATCCGCCTACCCAGCATACCATGATAAGTGTTTTTAATTTTTAAATTTTATATTTATAAAAAAATAATCTAAAATTTTTAATCTTTTAAAATTATAATTATTTTGATTATGCAGGAGTGTGTTGACGAGCTCATATGAAAATCGTTGAGAAGCGAGTAGGCGAAGGAATCTTGGAGCCACAAATGGAAAAGAATGCCATATACCTTGATGTTGTAGGGGAGAAGAAGAAGAGGCTATATGGTGTAGGAACACAGGCATTGTATTATCTATCCTAGTTAGGTGGCACTAGCTCATGATCTATGTCATTGCATTATAATGATGACTTTTCTTGTAATGAGGTTTAGAGGCGATACGAGATGAAGGAGGGGATGTAGGGGATGCGAGTCAAACAACACTAGTTACGAAACCTTGTCATGAAGAAGTAGAGTACTATACACGGTGG